GTAAGCACTGTGAATTGTGCAAGACTGTTGAATCTCAGATCGGTACCTCTGAAACAAATAATGCAATATATGTTAAGAAAAAAAAAAAAGAAGAAGAAGAAGAGGGTAGCGGGAGGGGAAGAGTGAAGCGGGGGAAATCGGAGGGGTAGACGAACCATGAGAGACGATGGACTCTGAAAAACAAACAGAGTTCTAGAGGGGAGGGGGTTGGGAGGATGGGTTAGCCTGGTGGTGGGTATTGAGGGGGGCACATTCTGCATGGAGCACTGGGTGTTATGCACAAACAATGAATCATGGAACACTTCATCTAAAACTAAGGATGTAATGTATGGGGATTAACATAAGAATAAAAAAAAATGTTAAAAAAAAAAAAACCCACACATAGGGGCACCTGGGTGGCTCAGTCGGTTAAGCGGCTGCCTTCGGCTCAGGTCATGATCCCAGGGTCCCTGGGATCGAGCCCCGCATCGGGCTTCCTGCTCGGAGGGGAGCCTGCCTCTCCCTCTCCCTCTGCCTGCCTCTCTGCCTACCTGTTCTCTCTATCTCTCTGTCAAATAAAAAATTTTAAAAAAAATCTTAAAAAAAAAAAAACAAAGCACACATACAGGAGAATGAGCGACCCTCTGATCCAAGGCTAAAATGTAATAACCTGAGTGAATGTCCCAAAGTATGAATCCTCTCATTATGTTCCTAGCTCTATGGAAAGTAAGTGGCTGCAATCCTACATTGGAAACTAAATCATTGCAAGGCTGAAAACAATGTTTTGTTGGCATAAAATCATGTACTTAACAAAAGAAAGCTTTTTTATTTTTTTCTTGAGTAGAAAGTAGAGAGTGACATCAACTATTTGGACCATCTAGCTACATTGCTTCAAGTTGAGCTTTTTTCTCTGGAAATCTTTTCCAAATCCTTTTGAATTAATTTGTATTATATTAACAAATATTCTAATGACAAGCCAGTTTAGTGAAACAATTAAATTCACCATTAGGACAAATATAAGCAAACAGAAACATGCTGACCTTTTTGTTAGCTACATAATTTTGTTGACATTCCTCTTGATTTTAGAAGTCTGTTTAGTAATTGATTTCTTAAATGAAGTCTACACTAAACAAGGGGAAAAAGAATGGAAAAATGTCTTACGAAGTTAAGTAGTGTCGATGGTCTAGATTTCAAAAGTTTCCTTAGTAACTGTGTATCTATACAATCAATACATTGATCATTGATTAGTTTTACACATCTTGTGATATGTATATATGTGAGTTTGTATATGTGCATGTGTATAGCTCTGTATTTCTTTCTTTCTTTTTTTATGAATATTTATACTCTTTTTTATTATTTTTTTATTTTTTTTATTTTATTATGTTATGTTAATCACCATACATTACATCATTAGTTTTAGATGAAGTGTTCCATGATTCATTGTTTGTGTATAACACCCAGTGCTCCATGCAGAACGTGCCCTCTTTAATACCCACCACCAGGCCAACCCATCCCCCCACCCCTCCCTTCTAGAACCCTCAGTTTGTTTCTCAGAGTCCATAGTCTCTCATGGTTCGTCTCTTTCTTTCTCTTCTTCTCTCTCCTGAGTTGAATTCCTGTGTTCTTTCTATATTTGCCAGAAGTATAAAGAAGAGAAATGTCCTAAACATATATATATTTTTACATATGTGTTTTTTTACTAATGGCTCAAAAAGTGTGTAGATGGAGGATTTGGCTTTATCTTGAATGAATCATATCTTTAGAATAAACTGATTCATGGTGAAATGATTGTGGGGGATTATTCTCATTTTTTACATGTTGAATCTACTGTTCTAGGAGTTCTGGGCTGATTCCCAACTTAGTCGCTGACTCATTCATCTGTAGTTTCCCCCACAGGATGTGAGGAGGTGGTATGTCTGGAAGCCATGAACATCCCTAAAGCATCACCCCACCCAACCCCAGGGCATAGATTGAGCTTTCTGCAATACAGGGCAAGGATTGGCCCTGTATTTCTGCTATTCCCTCTGGAAGCTGGAACAATACACCATTGTAAGCATGGGTGTAATCGCTTCCTTTTCAGCACAGTGAGCTAGGCTGCTGCTAAATATTCTTTCCTCCTGCCTCTAGCCCTTCTATTCACTCTTTTCTACAATGAGTGTATTTATAAACTTTTATATGTAATGCATGTTGGAATTATGTACACATATAGATTAAGAAGCTTACAGTCCTTGGAACAGGTAGAAACCTGAACTGAAAACAGTCTATAAAAGATCTGTATTATGATCTTGTAGGGTGATTGTTATGGGCTGAATTGTGCAACCCTCTCCCCCTCCCCCACCACCAAATTCATATATTCAAGTCTTAACTCCAGTACCACAGAGTGTGACTGCAGTTGGAGACAGGGACTTTAAAGAAGTAATTAAGGTCATATGGGTGGGCACTAATCTAATTTTGTTGGTGTCCTTATAAGAAGAGGATATTTGAATATGGGAGTGCAGATATCTTTTCGGGTTAAGTGTTTTCATTTCCTTTGTATATATTCCTCAGAGTGGAATTGCTGGATAATATGATAGTTCTACTTTTTTGAGATTTTTTGAGAATTCTCCATACTGCTTTCCACAGCGGCTGTGCCAATTTACAATCCCACCAACAATGCACTGCACCCCTGTGTTTATAGCAGCATTATGTATAATAGCCAAGACATGGAAACAACCTAAGTGTCCATTGATGGATGAATGGATAAAGAAGTTGTGCCACACACACACACACACACACACACACACAGTGGAACATTATACAGCCATAAAAAAAATGAGGAAATCCTACCACTTGCAACAACATGGATGGGCCCTGAAGACATCAATGAGAAATGAAGTAAGTCAGAGAGAGAAAGACAAATACTGTATGATCTCACCTTATGTGGAATCCAAACCAAACTCATAGAGAAAGAGATCAGACTTGTGATTATCAGAAGTGAAGAGAAGGAGGAGGGGGAATTGGCAGAAGGTGATCAACATTTACCAGTTTCACAGGTTAGAAGAAACACTGGGGGTGTCATTTGCAACATGAGGACTAGATAACACTGCTCTGTGATAAATGGATAAGTGCATAAGGAAGAAAATCCCATGAGTTCTCATCACAAGGATATTTTTGTTTCTTTTTTCTTTTCTTTTATTGTGTACACACATACCTATATGAGAAGATAGATGTTAGCTGAACCTATTATAATCATTTCATGATATATTTAAATCAAACCATCATGCTGTACACCTTAAAATTATAAAGTGGTGTATGTCAATTATTTCTCAATAAACTAGACAAAATTATCTATTAGATTGTAAGTCTTTTGGAACAAGGAACCATGTGCTATTCATTTTTGAATCCCCACTCCCCTCCTATCACTGATGCCTAGCACTGAACATGATACACAGAAAAAAATCAATAAATATGTATTGCCCTGGAAAGAAAGAAGAGGAGGAAATTTAGACATTCAGGGAGACACTAGGGATGTGCTCACAGGGAAGACCATGAGGATACCACAAGAAAACAGCAATCCATGAGCCAATGAGACCAGCCTCAGGAGAAACCCAACCTGCCAACACCTTGATCTTGGTTTTCCAGCTTCCAGAACAGTGAGAAATTTAATTTCTGTTGTTCAAGTCACCTAGTCTATGGTATTTTGTTACAACAAAGTCACCTAGTCTATGGTATTTTGTTACAACAACCCTAGCAAATACATTGGTGTAGTAGGATCAGCTTTGAAGTATTAAAATCTGAGTAGAGCTTACAACACTAGCATGGCCTGGGGGAAATTGTTTAAACTCTCTGAACACCAGTGTCCTCATTTGTAAATTGAAGATAATTATAGCTATCTATCAAGGTTATCTTGAGGATCAGATGAATGTATGTAAAGTGTCTGACATGAAGTAGGTATGCAAGAAATATTTTGGGGAGGTTGGTACCTATTGGAGGAAAGGTGTGGGGTCTTCAGTCAATTAGAATTGTGTTTGAATCCAAGCTCTGCCACTTAACTAGGTGACCTTGAGCACGTTCCTTAAAATCTCTAATCCATAGAAACTGCATATAAAACACATGGAATATATTACAATATACATGTTAGTATACATATTAGTGAGTTAGTAAACATGTCAATACATGTTAGTTCTCTTTGGAGATTCTTGCAGTTCCAATTCTTCCGATTATCAGTTATATCAACAATGTGTTTGCTAGGGAGAGATGAGAAGTGAAGAGTCCATTTGGAAGGATGAGAATATTTATTTTGACCTTTTACCCTTACTCACCCTATGATGACTAAATGCCTATGAAATGGGCTTTCTGAAGGAAGAGCAATCAAACTAGGGAGTCAAAGAGAAAGCTTTATCATCAGGTTGATACAATGGCTATTAATATTCTCTCACTGAAGTTGCCACATGAAATCTTGTTACCAACTTCATAATTTCTACATGGAAAAATGAGTAAAAGTAGGGCTGAAATAAGTAAAAATAAAAAATTACAATTCCACCACCAAGAGATAATCACCATTAATTTGGTACAATTTTTCAGATATCTGTAACTCTGTATGTGCATATATTCTATTTATAACTACATAAGTACTTTTTATGCATAGTATTTGGTAACTGCTTTTTCCATCTAACACTATATTATAAACTGATTTTCATGTCATTGATTAATGTGCTCAACATTATTTTAAAATACATTGTTGAATGTACCAGAATTTTAAAACATATCCTTTTGTTAGTCATCTAGGTCCCACAAAATTTGTTTTTAAAATCAAGATGTCACTTGGGCATCTGTCTGATTGATGACTCAGAGGTGTGTAGTGTGAGTTGAAATAGCCTGAGGATCAAATGTGACCCTGTGGGAGTGGGGGAAGACATGATCTACTCTGGCTTTGGGTACTGGGGGAAAAAGCAAGGAAAGTGAAGCATTGTAAGAAAGGCATTTCCACCTTAAATTTTTGGGACCAATAATTTCTCAGGACCTAATGAAGCATCACTTACCTACAGAAGGATCTGTATCTCACTTGGAATTAATATATTTTCAGCATCAACCAAAGGCAACAATCTTGGACTGTGGTTCAATGGAAATGAAGCAGAATTCCAAGAGAACACTTTTCAGCCTTAGCAACTGGAAAGAGAGAAATGACTTGTGTATTGATGACCTTTCATAGATGATTATAAGAAAAATGATTATAATTCCAAGTTAAGTATTTTATTTGTTACTAAAATCAGAGATCTATTTTTTTAAAGATTTATTTATTTATTTATTTATTTATTTATTTATTTATTTATTTATTTGAGAGAGAGAGAGTTCAAGCGGGGGAGGGGCAGAGGGAGAGGAAGAGAGAGAATCTCAAGTAAAGAATAAGATCTTGGGGAACGAGACACTGGGCTCGATCCCAGGATCCCGAGATCATGACCTGAGCCAAAATCAAGAGCCAGCTGCTTAACCAACTGAGCTACCCAGGGGACCCATAGAGATCTTTTTAAAAGATGATCTGTAGTTGTAGATACAGTAATTATCTATTTATTAGGGATAAGATATCCATTTCATCTCCTCTCCCTCCATCCCTCTTTCTCTTGCTCTCATTTCTTATGCTCGTAAAACAGAAGTATCTTTCATGGAATCAAATACCCAGCTAGGAAAATGTATCATGCTTACCAGTTCAGCTCCGAAATATGTAAAAGGTGAAGTCTGTTTAGCTTCCCAGAACTTTTCCCTTTTCCTTACTCCCAGATCTGTGAGTCACCATTTTGTGTAAAAAGTATTTAGAGTGAAATTATTCCTTGGCAAGTCATGTTGTTAAACTAACTTCCCTATCACTCAAAGAGATGACCCTTATCTCTTTCTTTGCTGGAAGAATGTCTGGTGGAGGCACTTAATCTAGTCCAGAATAGTTCTTTATGCTTCTCAGGGATTGACTATACTGTGTATATAGATTGTGTAAATACTACTATTCATTTTAAAGAAAAGGGCTTTTGTTTATTTTCTTGGTTAGTTGATATTGGTAAATCCCATCTGTTCAGTTGTATAAAGAGAGACACTGACAAGCAGTTTTATTAAGAGAACTGATTTAATATAATGATTCATGAAGCAAAGTGCCTAGGTTAAAGTATAAAAAGTAATGAAGTGACTAGGTAGTATGCCATTTCACCAGGGAGTGCAGGTACAGAATACCCTAACATCTTTTGAATACATTGAGGACATTAAAACCATCAGTCTGTGAACTTAATAGATTTCCCAATGATATGAAATATGTTTTAAAAATATATACTTCTTATAAATATGCCCTGGGCCTACTTACCCTTTCTCACCCACATCCTCTGCTTCCTACCCCTTCAAAAAGCAGTCATATTTTAAAGGCTTTCCATGTTTGCATTGACAATCTATTTGATTTTAAGGTAAGAAAAGAGATTTTTAGTAGCCGCTGAGCTGGTGAAGTCACTCTCACACTTGCTCCAAGATTTAATGTTTTTATTGTCATCGTTAACTGGTATAAAATTGAGGGAATTTTATTCCCTTTTTAAGTACCGTTTTTTATTCCATTTCTCTCCAGCTCTTCTAAATGTTGGTGATAGTTTTTATTTTCATTTTGTCTGACTTATTCAGGAGATTTGTTTCATAGTTGCTTTGCATTATGGAGCATTTCAGCAACAAATCTCTAAAGAAACGATTTCATTTTCATGATGCTCCAGGTGATGGGAGGATAATAAAATCATCATAGGTGTCCATAACATCTGTTAACAATGCATCTAATTGACATGTTTGGGCAAACTCGACCTGGATGCCTCTAATGAGCTATGGTAACTAGATGACAAATAATGAGCAAATGAGAGAGGGTACATAGTTTTATGTCCACCAGCTTGCATGAGAACATAAGGAAGTGGCTGAAGGGTGGAGTGTTTATTTTGGTCAAGAGAATGTTTTAGTGATGTTTTCTTTTCCGTGTTGATTATATAATTCAGCCATCCCAGAAATCTAAATATATTCAAGTTTGCAAGTATTGTTGGCTTTGAAAAGACTGATTGTTTTTCCTCATCTATCTAATAAGCAGTACATGGGTCTTCTTTTCTTTAAAAAAAAAAAAATCAAGCTTTGTAACAAAAAGAGCCTACTTGGAATGATTTATGTGTACTCAATATTAGGAATAAAGGATTCATTTGTTTTAGGTAGCAAAATAATGTTGTATTTGGAGGAATTATTTTTCAAAAAGCATAATTTTCTAAACATGTTGCCAGAAAGTTCCATAGATTGATTACTGCGATAGCCCCAATTTTCGTTGTATTTCCCACTTCTGTTCAGTGGAAACAAAATTGATACATAGAAACCTATCGTAGTGCTTCAGAACTTAAAGGCAATTGCTGTAGTTCTTCAAGATGCTTTGAATTTAGGTATTTGCATGGGGAATACCTCTGCCTTTTCACTGAAACCGTGCACGTGAGTCCCATAGAATGTCCCTATATGAGTTGACCCGCGCCTCACGGCTGATGATCATTCCCTCCATGTCTGAGTCGATTTTCAGATAGCAGTGAGATGTGCAGAGCCCTCCACGTTCCATGGACCAATTTGCAGAACTGTCAGGTGTGCGGCTGAAGGAAAAAATCATGCATTTGAGATGACACACATGAAAGCATAGCCAAGCCTGAGGTCATACACTTTGGACGGACTAACAGACTGCTTTGTTCAAATATATTAGAAAGATATTACATGTCCATAAATTCAAGCACATTTGAAATCACATTGAAAGTCAAAAGTACAAGTCCCCATTTCTCCTTGATTAACCCCATCTTCCAAAGGTAATCGCTTTCAGAGTTGGGCATATATACTTTTCTAGCCATTTTGTTTGGCCTATGAAAAGAAGTGTATATATATTTGTTTATTTTTTCCAGAATGGGATAAAAATGCATACATTTCTGTAACTTACTTTTTACCATGTTTAACGATATATTATTGAAGTTTTGTGTCATTGCACAGAGACCTATTTCATTCTTTTTCGCGTCTTCATAGTCTTTCATTTCAACACATGTTCCAAAATACATAATTCATTCCATCTTGACAGATATTTAAATAATGAACTGGTTAGTTTCTGTTTGCCTTTCTCACAGATCACGCTCTGTTCTTACCTACAGTTCTCTATCCATGGGAGGCTGACCCTAAGCCACTGATGGGACTTAGCCAGTGGGACTTGGGTGTGTGGAAAGAAGTCATGGTCTTTTTTCCCACTCCCTTCCACTCCTTTCCCCTCTCCCTTCCTCCAGAACTGAATGTTCTGGAAGTGACTGAACTCTTCCAATAAAGACCGTTCCTGATGGAAGACTCTTTTGCCATGCATCTGCTCCAGTTCTGCCAACGTGTTACCTTCCTCTGCCCAGAGGTGATAATGGCTTTGTGCTGTTACTCATCTGCTGCCTCACCATCTCTTGCTGTTCCCCCAAACCAGTGGTGGGCTAGGAAATGTTTGGGCTTTGTCAATTTCTGTGGGTATAAGTACTTCCACAATGACTGATTTCAAGATTCCAACTTGAAATTCCTGAATGTAATATTGGGAAGAATTGTGCACAGTCAGCTCTTGGGAGCTGGTGTGAGACAGCTACGAACACCACTGCCCTACCCATCCTGGCACTTTGCAAGTTAGTCCCTTTATGAACTTGAATGGCCTGAGTTGATTCTGTTTACTGCCATAATTTTGCCATAGATAATTTCCTTTTTTGTTCTATTACAAATAGTTGGGTAGCAGCAAATTATCTATCTATCTATCTATCTATCTATCTATCTATCTATCACCTATCTATCTATATACAAACATGTATATTTGAGCACACATGTAAGTCATGCTGGACATTAAATTCTGAGAATTGGGCCAAAGGTATGTCAATTCAACATTTTCATGGGTTTTGCCTAATTGTTTACTGACCAAAATGTTCTATCAATTTATAGTTCCTCTGGTAGCTCTAAGAAAGCCTCTTTCAGGGTGCCTGGGTGGCTCCATGGTTAAGTCTCTGACTGCAGTTCAGGTCATGATCTCAGGGTCTTGGGATTGAGCCCTGCCTGGGGCTCCATGATCAGCAGGGAGTCTGCTTCTCCCTCTGCCGCCCCCCGCCCCCAGCTTGTGTGCTCTCTCTCTCTCAAATAAATAAATAAAATCTTTTAAAAAAAGAATGCTTCTTTCTACATAACCTCATCCACACTAGATGTTTTTAATTTTTTAAATCTTTGCCAATAGTACAAATGATACTATTTGCATTCATTTACATGTTATCGATTATTTGTGAGGCTGAAAATCATTTTATAATTTTGCATTTATCAAATTTGTTTTGTGAACTGGAAGGCACAATAAACAGGTGTCTGAATCCCCTTGGACATTTAGGGGATATTTGGTGACTGCTCCACAGGCAGAAGTAAAGGAGAGATGGCTATTAGTTTGTCTGGGAAATGGCTGTGTGAGCATTTCCCATTGCTATGGACAGAACGGTGTCCCCACCCCCAAATTCATATGTTGAAGCCCCAACCCCCAATGTGGTTGTATCTGGAGATAAGGTCTTTAGAGGGTAAATTTAAGTGAGGTCATAATTGTGGGTTCCTAATCTGATAAGGACTGTGGTCTTATAAGCAGAGGCTGAGATCTCTCTCTTTTTGCCATGTGAGGCTGTTATAGTTCTGGTCATAGTTCAATAAAGAGACTACTCTTCATGCTGTTGCTCATTTCATAAACTTGGGAGTCAGAGTCATCTTTGCTACTTTTTTCTCATTTACCTACTCTCCATTCCCAACAAGGCTCTTGAATTGAAACTCCTAAATATATTTCACACCCATCCATTCTTCTTTATCATCTCTTGGTCCTAGCTACCCTTATCTTCTGCCTACAAATATTATATTAACATAGTCACTGTATCCTTTTGGCTCTTCCTAGTTCATTCTCATACTCAGCAGCCAGATCTTAACATAATGATTTGGGCAGATCTCCTCCTTAAAACTCTTCATTGTTTCCACACGGTCTTGGAATAAAGATCTACATTCTGAACATGATCTGTGAAGTCCTGAGTAACCAGCACGTGCCTACATCACCAACATCAATTTTTCCCAGGCTCACCATCACCCATTACTCTTCACCCTTATGGCCTTTTTTCTTTTCTTTTCTTTTTTTTTTTTAAGATTTTATTTATTTATTTGACAGAGAGAGACACAGTGAGAGAGGGAACACAAGCAGGGGGAGTGGGAGAGGGAGAAGCAGGCTTCCCGCTGAGCAGGGAGCCCGATGCGGGGCTCGATCCCAGGACCCTGAGACCATGACCTGAGCCGAAGGCAGATGCTTAATGACTGAGCCACCCAGGCGCCCCCTTATGGCCTTTTTTCAATCCCTGGAAAACCCAAGCTCATTTCTGACCAGACCTTGGAATGTGCTCTGCCTGATACAATCTTTTCTTTCCTCTTTGGCTATCACCAAACTCCAGCTTAAATTCAATTTCTTTCCTGATTCCTCAAACTGAGAGTATATCTCCCATTATGCAATCTAATAGTACTTTATTTATGATGCTTATTGTAACCTAAATGGATATTTATGTAATTATTTGCTTAATGTTAGTTTTCTGATAGTAGATTATAAGCTCCATGTGGGTAGAGATGATATTTATTTTGTTTCCCACTATACTACCAGCACCCAGTTCAGTGCATGACACACAGAATGGACTTAATAAATACTTGCTGAATAAACTGCTGAGAAAATTCTTATAATGGAATCATACCAGAGAAGGTCCAAGGGAGTGTATCTCTAAGTCAAAGATATATAATGATGCTCAGC